CCTGAGAGGCCGGGTTCTACTGGACCCAGAACCTGGTCTAAGCGGGTCGCTGTAGCCCTGAGAGGCCGGGTTCTACTGGACCCAGAACCTGGTCTAAGCGGGTCGCTGTAGCCCTGAGAGGCCGGGTTCTACTGGACCCAGAACCGGTTCTACTGGACCCAGAACCTGGTCTAAGCGGGTCGCTGTAACCCTGAGAGGCTGGATTCTACTGGACCCAGAACCTGGTCTAAGCGGGCCCACCTCGTGGAAGCTGTCCTCGGTGATGCCGCTGTCTTCAATGTGAAGGATGCTCTTCAGCGTCTGGACGTAGAGCAGGTCCACTTCCTCCAGGTCCTCCAGCTGCAGCGGGATGCAGCACAGCTGCTTCCAGACCAGCGGCGCCAGGTGCAGGTCTAGAGGCTTCTTGGTTCTGATGGCCACGCCCATCAGGATGCCCAGAAACTTGAACTGGAGCATGTGCTCCTCCAGGCAGGCGGACGGGTTGAACAGGAACCTGAGGCAGACCAGAGGACGGCAGTGAGTCCGCTCACAGCGGGATTATCAAGAACCGGGTCGGCTCCTCTGCTCACCTGTCTCTGTTGTAGCCGACCTCTGCGGTGGCGTTAGGCGATGGGATCAGCAGGTCCACCACGCCCGTCTCCAGCTCCTGCAACACATGGCTGCCATCAGTGGGCCGCAGAGTCCCGGAATGGGACTGAAAGGAGCTCAGAAGCAGCGGTACCTGACACATCTCTGTGATGGTGTCGTCAAACACGCCCCCCGCGTCGTCCGCCCCCTCCCCCACCAGCTTCACCTTCCAGGCCCGGGATGGCAGCCGCAGGTCCGAGGCGTTCAGCTTCACCACCTGCCGTGCGATCTGGACGAAGATGGGCTTACATTTACGGCCACTGCGGAACCAGAGAGAGCAGAACCAGAGAACCTTCAGCTTCAGAACCTCAACTATGGTCCAAAGAGAGGGCGGGTCACTGACCGAGTAGAGATCCGTTTGACGGTGATCTGGGGTCCGTAGTTCTTCCCCTGGACCATGGTCTTACCGATGGAGCGGACCATGGGCAGGGTGTAGACCCGGGGGGCCAACAGGGGCCTCAGCTGGCCCTGGACGATTCCCCAGGTCCCGGCGTTGTAGTGGGAGGTGCAGCTCTGCAGAACACAGATAAGCCGTCAGGGAAACAGTGACAGAACCAGGGCCGGGTCTCTGGGTTCTCGGAGGTTCCGTCTCACCTGGTAGTTGGGGCTGAGGTTCAGCAGCCTCCATGATGAGTACATGAGGTCCGAGAAGTGGTAGAGGAGGCGGAGCCGAGCGCGGACCGCCTCCATGCTCACCTCCTTCAGCCCGCTGTACTGAGGGGGCACCGCCAGCGGCAGCCCCAGCTGGAGCGGAACCGACGACCCTGAAGAAGAGGAGGAAGTTTGGTTCTTTTCTATTCTGAACCTGAACGGGTCGCAGCAGAACCGCTGTAGACTTTAACTCAAGAAACTGGTTCAGAAATGTGTTTCAATCATTGGAAATGACAAAACAGCTATGTAGAGGTGCTGATCAGGAGGGCGGGACCATCCCGGTTCCTGAAGGAGCAACAGGAACGTTCTGGATGGCTGACTATGATCCTGAGTTGAACCCTTCGATGAACCAGATCAGCGCTCCAGATAAGGAGGGCGTGGTACAAACCTGGCGCCCGTGGCGGCACGCAGGGAGCTGTCCAGGCGGCGCTATGACAGCGTCCAGCAGAGATCTGGTTGATGTTCTTCCCCTGCAGCGCTGTCACCAGCGTTGGTTCTCTGACGTGGTTGGTGTGGCCCAGACCCAGCTGCAAGCAGAACCAGTTCCACGGATCAAAAGCTGAGAAATCTGGTCAGGGCTCTGGACCGTGGGGGCCGTCTCATGGTTACCTGTCCCTCTGAGTTGCTGCCCCAGGCGTAAACGTCTCCGCCGGACGACAGAACCAGTGTGTGTTCGGCTCCGACCGCCACATCCTGGATGTGGATCCCTGACAGCGCTGGCACCTGCTGGGGTCGGTTGTGGTTCCGAGCTCGGCCTTCTGGCAACCCGATGAGGCGGTCTTTAAAGAGAGGAAGACGGAACATGAACAAGACTGGACCCGGAGTGGCGGTTAGCTGGGTTCTACTTCTAGGACCAGAACTCCAGGGTACCTTGGCCGAAGGTGAAAACTTTGCCATCTTTGGTCAGCGCCACGGAAAACTGGGTTCCACAGGCCACCTTCTTGATCCCGACGCCACACAGAACCTCCACCTTCTGCAGAGACATCAATCACACTCGGGTCAAACCTGTTCTGGTCCCCTCGGGTTCTTCTTCTTCTGTTCTGCCGGACCTGACCTGAGGAGAAGACTTGGCCGTGGAATTCCCCAGTCCCAGTTTGCCGTAGTCGCCGTCACCGAAGGCCCAAACCATTGCCCCGTCAGCAGAGACCACCAACGTATGGTTTAGACCGCAGGCCACCTGAGGAGAACCGGTCTGAGCTCAGAACCTCCTCTGTCTGTCAGAACTGGTACCAGCTGTTCGGCGGATGCTCACCTGTCCAACCTGGTACCCGTCCAGAGACGCCACCTTCTCCGGAAGCTTCTTGTTGGACGTGTTTCCCAGCCCCAAGCGGCCGTAGTCTCCGTTCCCAAAGGTGAACAGCTTCCCATCGGCAGTCACCACGGCCGAGTGTTTGAACCCACAGGACATCTGCAGAACCAAGGAGAAGCTTAGAACCGGGCTTGGGCAAAAGTCCACCCCGCTCCTGCAGACGGACCAACCTGAACCACCTCCTCCCCCTGCAAAGCCTCGATTTGCCGCGGGCGGCGCTGCCGGTCGCTGTTCCCATGGCCAAGCTTGCCATAGTCTCCGTCCCCCCAGCTGAAGACCTCGCCACTCTCTGTCAGCGCCATCGAGTGGCCGTCGCTGCCACATGACGTCACCAGCTGGGTCACCACGAACCCTGGAGACAGACGACATTCAGACTCAGAGACCCCCGCTAACGACCAGACCGGCGTTCGGACTGGACCATGCTGGGGCGCTCACCTTGGAGGGCAGAGATGATGGTCAGGACGTGCAGGTCGTCAGAGTTCCCCTGACCCAGGCGGCCGTAGCTGCCCTCTCCGCAGGCCAGAACCGACCCGTTGGGTTGAATCACAAAGGTGCAGTTTTGGCCACACACCACCTGTGAGAGGAAGGACAAGTCAGTGGGGGACAGAATCCAACACCACGATGTGGAGATGGCTTTTCCAGAACCTGCTGGGCCTGTGAGAACGACGGGGCAGTGGTCGGAACCAGGAGGTTTCTGCCGGCCTCGGCCAGCTGGCCGTGCCGACCTGCTCCCCACAGGAACACGTCACATTTCCCCCCCAGGTGCCAGTCCTAGAAATAAACAGAACCAGGTACGGGTGAAGCAGAACCTCCCTCAGAGGACGAGGGTTACGGCGCTGGGCCCGCACTCACCTCAGGTCTGGTCGTGGCCCAGGACATGATCTGCTCGTCCATCCCAGACGCCCATTTCCCGTTGTCCTGGAAACAGACAGATCATTAAGGTGAGCTGTTGGGCGGACCATCGGATCGCAGGCTGCAGATCGGGTCAACTCTCACCATCACAAGAACCATCTCCTCCTTGGGAACCGGCTCCAGGTCGGGAACGCAGAAGGAGTCGGGGAACGTGGCTCGACGGGCAAGGGCCTCGGCCGCCTTGATGGTGGTGGAGAAGCCATCCAGCCAGGCCCATTCGCTGGCGGTCCAGACAGCAGTACCGGACTCTGGGGGACAGCGCCGGAGGTGAGGCGGGACGGGTGGGCGGCAAAGCAGCTGGTCCAGATGGAGGCCCACGGCCAGCGAGGCCAAACACTGCATGTAGGGGCTGTGGACCAGCTGCTCCCCACAGACCACATGAGGCTGCAGAGGAAAGGAGACGCTGACTTTACCTGGTCTTTGCAGAACCTGATCTAAACATCTGACCCAGAGGACTTTTTTAAGTTTTACAACAAGAACTATTTTAGTTTTAGTCGTCAACCAGATTGTCTCTGACAGATGGAGATACGACGCTGCTGTCCAGTTCATCAAAACCTTTGGTTTCTAGGAGCCAAATATTTTTATGAACCTACGCCCGGCTTTATGAAAACGTTGTGAAAAAGTTTTAATGACAATAAAAGGAAACATTTACGTGATGTTTGAATAATAGAAACAGGATCTCTGAGAGAGAAGATCTATGTGCCTTTTCATCCGGGTCTTTAAACTGGAAGAAATCAAATCCTCATAGTTTGACAAAAGGTTTTTTTTTTTCGTTTGGCAGATGCTGATCAGTTTATTAAGCAGCCAGGACAGAGAGGGCCGTGATGCTGAGAATAATCCGTCAGTGTAGAGCGCAGAATCAGAGCTATTTCTGCACAAACGGTCGAAAGAAAGGAGTATGTCAGAGTAGCAGACCGTTCCTGCTTATTTCCCCCTGCCGCTGCTGCTAATGTCCACCTGTGTTCATGCAGAATATGCACCGCTGCACGGACGCAACAGCATGGCTGATACCGCTTAGCAGATTACAGCACAATGATGCATTTAAACATCTGACAGACAACCTGCTAAGGTTTTTATTTAGTCTAATTAACGAAAACACACCCACGACTCATCATGTTTACGTCATCAAGGATCTAGATTAGCTCATCAGTTCTCGCCATGGATAAAAGGAGCGTCTGCCGATTCGTTTGATGAAAACCACACTGGTTTG